CTGGTGCTGGTCTGTCACATGGGGTGAATTTCACCCTGTGCCCAAGCGGTTACCAAATGTGTGGGTTAGCGTTTGCGACTCCTCTGTCTGAGTTTGGAAGAGGAGAAGCCTTTGCTGTCCGGAAACACAGCCAAGCACTAACAAATTGGTACGAAGTCCCCAGTGCAAATCTTCCATGCTTTTGGTTTCCACGTTGTCCTGTTCGCCCATGACATTCAGATCATACTCGTACAGCAGTCCAGGGACCTCAGGAGGGCCTTGAAGCATCCCTGATAAATGTTTGTCTAACCTGCACTTGCCAGCATCCAGTGGCAGAGAATCCACATCCGTCCTTGTTTTCCAAACTTGCAGGTCTGCGCTGCAGATCCTCCACAAAGCCTGCGAGGTGGCCCGGAGGTACAACTACTTCCCAGGCGGTATGGCCCTGGTCTGGGCCACGTACTACGAGAGCTGCATTGGCTCCGACCAGAGCTGCATCAATGAGTGGAACGCGATGCAGGACCTGGAGTCAACGCGCCCCGATTCCCCGGCGCTGTTTGTCGACATGTCAGTCCCGATTCTTCTCTTGAGCCTCTGCTTGTTGACATTAGAAAACCTGTGTTTTCCCTTTCGTCTTCCAGCACTTTGGTTTCCTCTCTGTTCACAAGGGCCCTTCAGAATGCTCACCCCTTTTCCCCTGGCTGTTTCAGTTCATGCCATCCTCCTGCTCCCTTCTCCATAATTGCAAGTGTCCTGTTACACAGAGGGAGCACTGCCAAGGGCTTCTGTCCCAGCATAGTGCCTGTCTGAATGTCTCCTTTAATTTTCCTTTCCAGGCCAACTGAGAGGGAGAGGACAGAGCGGCTCATTAAAGCCAAACTCCGAAGTATCATGATGAGCAAAGACCTGGAAAATGTGACCTCCAAGGAAGTAAGGAACCCCCTACCCTGGGCTGTCCGGCAACAACCTGAGTGCTGTCAGAGTCCAGAGAAGGAGAGGTAGCTTTGTTGCAGGGCAAGTGCAGAGGACTGGGATTTAGGACCCTTGGGATCTGTATTCCCTGCTGTTCTTATCAGATTTGTGCCCTGTTCTGGGAGTCAACCACCCAGTGAGGTCTCAGAGTCTTTTGCAACAAGCAGTTGAAACCAGGAGTGCTGGGATACATGTATGAGCCTTCTGAGTTGCCCTTTAGTTGCTTGTTTGATGGGTGAAGTATTTGCATGCAACCAGGTGAGCTGGATTAAAGCTCGCTCAGATATGCAAGCACATGATGCAGTCACCCCCCTTGATCTGCATTGTATATCCATGAGCTTGGCTTTTAAAGGGGAGGGGATGGGGGATAAAACTGCATGGGCAGCTCTTTTACAACTCAGAGAACTTGAAAACACCAAATTCTCTTTTCCTGTGATGCCACCACCTTTTCTTGTTTCTGATGGGTTTTGCTCTTACTTCTTAGGGGCTAGTGCTGTGCTTGGGAGTTGAGCACAGTAGGGGATGGCTAAGTGTGTAAAAAGATGCAGTGTCGGTTGCTTTGGGTTTTACACAAAGCTCTGAGTGAGCTAAATGTGGGGCCTAAAACATTGGAGGGCGACAGTTCAGTGAGGCTGTTGGTCTCGCAAAGCAATGATCTATCTCTGTGTCAGCCGGTCTCTCCCTATTCAGCCCCACGTGTAAAATGTATCAGTGCCCCCCTTTTTCAAACACTGGTGGATGTTGAGCCCATTTAGGCCTTCGTGTAGGTGGTGGGTTCCTGTAGCCTAGATGGCATACTGTCATGTTCTGCCCTGCAGATCCGGAACGAGCTGGAGAAGCACATGAATTGCAACTTGAAGGAATTCAAGGAGTTTATAGATAACGAAATGCTGCTCATCCTGGGGCAGATGGACAAGCCCTCTCTGATTTTCGACCATCTGTACCTGGTAAGCAGCAGCATTCTGAGCTGTGCATTGCAAACAGCTTGCAAGGGTGAGCGGGGGCTCAGGCAGGGTATTGTGTGATGCAAGGTGGGTTTTTTAATCAGTAGAGGACATAGAGCAGGGCGCTGTCCAAGCACGCAGGTTATTTACTCTCAGACCCAATCAGTGCCACTGGTTTTTGCTTGCTGAATTGGGTGAAGCCGAAGGTGAGGCAGTGAGGAGGTCAAAGAGCCTTCCACTGGGTGCGGACTGCACAGAGAGTAAAGGCTGAACAGTGATGTATGCTGGAAGCCTAGGGTAAGGCTGTGAAGGAGGATGCGACTCATGTCATCTCCTACCACTAGATGGTACTGCAAGCAGAACTAGAAATTACCATCTGGAACAAAGACTTAATGAAGACAAGTGAGGTCCTGCATCCGATTCACTCCTTCCAGGACAGAGACCGAGGAAGGATTGATGTTCACAGGTCAATCTTATGTTGGCATCCTCCTAGTTTTGCTCCCTAAAGCCGTGTCCCGGATTCAGTGTGCAGCACCCACACCCCTGTAATCAGAACCTCCCCATCCTCTTGGGAGTCACCTGGGTCTAGGTTGTACCACCTGGGTTTTTGGGCATCTGAAGGGTTTTCCCTGTACAGTCGCATTTGCTACTGAGTAGCCACTGACAGTCGATTTGTGGTGGACTTGTTGGTAGGAGCTGGGCTGAGACTAATTCCCTCGACCCTAGAGACCAAGTAGATCCAGAGATGCTGGCTGCCAACCCAGACAGGCTCTGAACTGCCCCCTCGAGAGACAGGCTCAGTGCCCCACAGCCCATCTCCTTTGCCAGCTCCAGTGCCTCTCCAGTTCTCATGACTGGGAGCTTCTCAGACTAAAGTCCGACTGTATGCTCCTGTAATGTTCCCACTTGGCTCCTAACCCTACCGCATGTGTGATCCATGCCTTCTCATGGGGGAGGGTGTTAAATAACAGGGCTGCCTAAGGCTTCTCCAATAAGGAAGGAGAAGGGTTTTCCAGCAAAGGCTGAAGAAACCCAAGGTTTGAGTTCCCTTTGGGTCTGCCACAACTCCATGGGTGAGTGACTCGATCCCCTTGCACCTCAGTCCGGAAGGTGCGTATCAGGAGGGTGATGATAGTCCCTTTCTTCCAGCCTTTGCATTGCCCATTTCGATGGTAGATGCTGTCATTTGTTGTAGTTTAGATTGCTCATCCTGCCTCTGTGTGACTTGCGCCCTAGGGATCAGAATGGAACGCCTCCAACCTAGAAGAGCTGCAGGGCTCAGGGTGAGTACTGCACCGTTCCTCTCCCTTCACCCCCCGGCTCTACAGGCAACCAGTGCCAGACGTTGCATGTGAAACACTTAAATCCCCATGTCACCTGCAGTTCTTCTCCTGCTCAGGTCTCTGAAGAGAGGACGTATGACCCTTATAGGGCATGGGGCACTTGAGTAAGGTACCGGGTTCTGTTTGCAGTAGCAGATGACCTGCTCTTGCCTTTCTCAGCCTTACTTCTCTGGGCTAGAAAATGGATGCAACCCTTGCCTATCTGCCTTTGTAACGTGTCTCTGGATCAGTGGATGAAGAATGCAGTGTAGCAGCTATGTATTAAATAGCCGAGCTGCTTGTTGTCTCAGGTGTGAATTCCTGAATGCTGCACACGATTAAATCTTACGGGGCATGTCGCAGAAAAGCCCTTCTCCAAATGGTGCAGAACTGCCCGAGAATGAGCACATTTGTGGGAAGCATCTTCCATTTCCCTGGTGCCTCCAGGCAGCTGCTGGGCCATCGCCGCAAGAGTTTTCTCCACTACGCCACTTCTTGGCTTGATTTGCTTTCATGCTTTCTAGGCCAGTGGGAATTTTGTGCGTAAATACTTGCTGCTCGCCCAGGACACGCTCGAGGTCCAGTCTGAGGATTGGAGAAGCATTGCTCAACAAGAAGAATAAAAATGTTTTAATTGGAGGCCTCAGGAACCAGATGTCTGAGCATTTTTGAACCAGTCAAATAAACGGCGCATTAATCCTTTGATCCTCGGTGATGGTATCTTTGACATGCTGTATTTAAAAAGCTGAAGCTGGACGAATCTTTGCCCAAATGATTGGTATTTTTGATTTGTCTGCAGGATACAACACAATAAATTCATATGGGCACTTGCTCTCCTAGGTTGAATGGTGAAAGCCTTGCTCTTGGGCCATGCAGAAGCAGAGGGCAACTAGGCAGCTTTTATTTCATGTTTCCAGTTGGAAAGAAGGAAGAAAGGACAGTCATGTGGCCATAGCATAGGACTAAGAATCGGGGTTCCTGGGTTTTCTCCCTAGCTGGGCTAGTTGGTGTGAGACTTTGGGCAGGTCTCTGTACTTCTTCCTCCCTCAGCTTCCCCATCCATAGAGTGGCAGTCCATTAATTTTCTTCTTGGGGTTCGTCTGTTGTTTGCAGAGTGCTCTGAGCTCCTGAGAAATGCAGAGTCTTGATTTTGTCTGGTTAGAGGCAAGATGATTTAATTGGAAGGGCAGGGAGCAAGGACCTCCTGGCTCAGGTTGGCGGGCTGGTCCTGTGAGTCCTTCATGGACATGACTCCAGCTGGTGTCTTGGAAGCTAAGGATTTGGGGACTTGGGGCCGGAGGGCGAAGGGGCTTTGCTTCCTGTGTGTGGCGACCACTGGAGCTTTGCATCACATTTCATGTACTTTATCAAAGACATTTCCATTCCCCACTGAGGTCTGGCATGGTTCAGCTTCATCCTTTCTCTCTTTCACTATCCTTCCTTCCAGCATTGACTACATTTTAAACGTGACGCGGGAAATCGATAACTTCTTCCCTGGGCTGTTTGCCTATCACAATATCAGAGTGTACGATGAGGAGACGACTGATCTCCTTGCCCACTGGAATGAGGCGTATCATTTTATCAACAAGGCCAAGTAAGTGGACGATCATCTCCGGGGTGAGGGTAAGGACCTGTCGGTGTCCGTGGAGAGAGTAGGCACGAGTCTTCACGTGACTGTAGCCGGAAGACGAACCTCAAGGGAAGGCAGGAGGGGAAATGCAGTAGCTGGCAGGGCTCGGCTGAGCCCTTGGAGGTGATTGCAGAGGCTGATGCTGACCTGAGCCCACCAGACGCCGCTGTGGTGCTTCTTACTGGTTAGT